AACTCTACTAATCTATTAGCTTCCGCATCATCTTCCTCATCACTAAACCATATTTCAACTGTGTCCATTTTTTAAATTTTATAATAAAAGCAATTATTTTAAAAATGATGTAAATAAAACACTCAAGAAACAAATGTAAACAAACAAACAGCTGTTTACAATTCTGTCAACCATTCACAATAGTACAAATTTTTATTGATCAAGTTACACAATAGCAAAATAAAAGATGATCGACTCGATCGACAAATTTCTATTCTACTGCCAGTCGACACTCGCAATAGGGGCCTGTGTTTAGTCGTTATATGGCAGCAAATGAGACAAAAAAAAACTCTAAAAGATCAACTTGAAACGTGCACATTATTGACATTGACTAAAATTGAATGCGCTATAAAACTGTGTACTCAAAAAAATTCTAGAGCTTCTGAGAAAAAAGTTTGAAATTTATGGGAAAGTTTGTTGCGCTCTTTTGTNTTAAAACATGGGTTTATATGGGTTTTGTTAGAGAATGAACTGTATTTTAATTGAAAATTCTTAAAAACAAATAACTAAACATAAGTGGCAAACAATATCGCTTTGAAAGGGGGGTGCTATAGATATGTCCAATACTGTATATGTGAACAGTGAAAAAGTCGTCAAATTTTGCAAAGTTGTAATAAAACTGCACTTTTGTGAATTAGTGTAAATCATTCGCAATTGTTAATATATATCAAAAGAAAGGTAAAGTTCATACTTAAATTTTTTCTAATAATTATAGTTAAAAACTCTACAATTTGATGCAATTTGTTAGAATTTTCCAATTTTTTTAAATATGGGCTTGCATCGATTTACCTTTCTTTTGATTATAATGTTGTAATCGATTTATCTTTCTTTTGATTATAATATTGTAAGAATCGCTTAACTTCAATCTTGTATTCTATCATTCTTGATTTTCCCACGCCAACCTAAATTACTTATCATTATCGCGTATTACCCGGTTCCCACGGCTACATTCTTAATTCGATTTGACAATTATCTGTCTCTGTTTTGTTTTTGTTTTTCTTCGCTGCAAAATTTATGCAAAATGTAGGTTCTTCCTAAAAATTTATAAGTTTTGGTATTAAATTAGGGATATGATAAACTTTATAACTTACGTAATTCGAAGGGTGATTGCGAGTGCGAATTACGAATGAGAGAGCGAACTTCGAATTTGGGGTGGCGTGAGAAAGCCTTACTATTTGCTCGTTGTTTTGTACTTCTAAAAAACAACATTGAGCTAAGGGAGTATCAAGGTGAAATTAGTCAAGAACGCAGAACGTACACTTAAACGCAGTCTGTATACGCAGAATTTTGTCGATTACTGGAGCCCTGAGTGTTGCTTACTACAGGGTGTCCTCTCATCAATGCCTTTTCATAAACTTACCTTTTCAACTACAATTTTTCATGCTATAATAGATCGTAGCTATATATAACCTACTTAGTTTTCAACAAAAAACCTTATTCAATAGTAAATTTTAAATATTTTAAACGTATTGTTACGATTATCCTCGAAACCTTGAGGGATTTCCCCAAGAATGATAGAATACAAGATTGCGCCGTCCTGGGCGTTGACATTTGTGTACCACAAGTAAACAAAGAATAGAGCGAAAAGAAGAACGAGTTGAAACTGCCAAAGCAGTTCACTTTAGAGCGAAAAACGTGTTTAAATTTTGCTAAATGCGAAAATATTGCATTTTTCACCTAATCTATTAGAGAACAGTGAACATTTTAGTGCACTCCATTGCTTTGCACTTGAGGCTGCTTCAGCAAACGTTTTAGTACACTCCATTGCTTTGCAATTAAGGCTGCTGCAGAAAACTGCAGCAGCATCTCTGCGGGATTGATTAGTTAACTTGCTAATGGAGGCTGCGTGGAGCAGAAACAAAATCATTGTGAGGAAATGCTGTTAATATAATAATAGAGAAACATTTCGAGAACGGCTTTGCCGTGCCCTATGTACACAAAATGCAGCGATTCGTCCCAGCGCTACACTTGCATCTACACTTCTTGCATCTTGACGGCTGTCGCAATTTAACACACATCACTTCATTGTATTAGTTTTTACGCAGTCTTCAACTCAAAAATCACTCACAAATTGCAAATTAACATAATTTAAACTGATTTTTCACTTATAATTCATATTTCTCTTTCGCTGATTTGTAAACAAAGGTTTATTTACAAGTTACCACAACTGTCAAAATCGGAAAAACCAAAGTAGCGGTACCACTGACGGCGCCACCTTTGTTCGCTGCACCGTGGGATTTCCCAAATATACTCGGGCTCGTATCGCTGGATTGTTAAATAAATGCTAACGATGACCAAATTGTAGTACAATTAACTTTATTGCACAACAAACAATTTACAATACTTGCTAATACAGTAAACACACTTTACAATACTTGTCTAAAGTAATAACAACGCTTTACTACTTGTTAACACAATTAAACTTATAGCTTGCTTATTCGCAACTCACTTCTCCGCTCACTTTACTTGTAGCTTGCTGACTGGTAACTCGTAACTAACTCCAACTCCGCTGTGGCGGCGCCCTTATATACCTGCGCTGACACTTATGGCAACTCTAGAAAATTCTGCAGTTTATCGCTCATTCTCTTTCTCTCGCTGTTCGCAGTGTTCATCCAACTTGACGTTTCTCTTTGTGGAACATTCTACGTCATTCCTCGAACTTTCTGCCTATTTCTCGTTGTTCGCAGTATTCGCCACAGTATTTTGAATAGGATATTATAACTTTTTTACCATCTGCAAAACTGACGAATTGGCAACCATCTGTAGAAGGAAGAAATCCGCTAACACGGAAAAATCTAAATTCCGCAGATTTCTGCGCTACGGGCTTCAACTACAGAAAAATTCCGCGGTGTTGAGGTTTCATTTACATGGCGCTCTGGTAAGACGTCGTGTCAGCTNTGTAGAAGGAAGAAATCCGCTAACACGGAAAAATCTAAATTCCGCAGATTTCTGCGCTACGGGCTTCAACTACAGAAAAATTCCGCGGTGTTGAGGTTTCATTTACATGGCGCTCTGGTAAGACAGGTCGTGTCAGCAGACTCGGATTTACGTACCGGTAGGTTTACGTTCTTCACTAATTTTACCTTCAAAACAAGTTGTCACTACGTACAACACCTAAAGTGGATATGTGGCAACACTGATCCACGTTCACATGTGTTGACGTTCCTAGTAGAGCTAAAAAACTATCGATAGTTGAACCGTTAGATCTTTTCGATAGTTTTGGGCCTCCCCATTCGATAGTATCGACCCTGTCGTTAAGGGCGGGTTGTTCAATGTGTGGTTATCACTACGTGCCGGTTAAACATCATTATCGACGTTTTCGACATAATGCCTATAGCATGTGATCGATAAAGCAGTCGTACTTAACCAGAGCTTCTACCTCCGATTAGTGTTAAGGTACGACCGCACTAGGCGACGCGACACAACGCGATAAAATATTGCCGATAGAATAGCGATAGAGACCACGATTAATCGATAGTGGTGACAAATTGAAACTATCGATAGTTTTGCAGCTCTATTTCCTCGTGTGGATAAACAAAAAAAATCGGATGGATTTCGCTCGAAANACCGCACTAGGCGACGCGACACAACGCGATAAAATATTGCCGATAGAATAACGATAGAGACCACGATTAATCGATAGTGGTGACAAATTGAAACTATCGATAGTTTTGCAGCTCTATTTCCTCGTGTGGATAAACAAAAAAAATTCGGATGGATTTCGCTCGAAGAATATTAAATAAATACGGTTGGAAAGAGGGCGAAGGCTTAGGAAAGCATAGCGATGGCATTGTTAAACCCCTCAAAGCAAGTATGAAATTTGATCACGCTGGTTTGGGTTCAGATCAAGCGGCTAGTGATTTCAACAACCACTGGTGGGAGCGCGTCTTCAACGAAGCTGCAACTAATGTAGAGGTAAAGTCTGATAAAAATGGCATAACCATGGATCTGAAAAATAAAGATGACAGCGTTGAAATTTCCACAAAAGGCTACTCGACGAAAAAGTTAAAGAAAGCTAAACAGACCCGTACTAGAAATGATTCAAGATATGATAACTTCCTTCAGTCTGCAACCCTTACCAAATCTGGCGATGAAATCGAGAATCCAAACAAAATTGCCATTACCGACATATCTGTAACGCAATACAAAACTTTAACAGATGAAGAGCTATTTCGTGCTTGTGGCGGACGAACCGCGCACAAAGGAGCTCGACATGGCTTGAAATTAAGTGGAAAGTTATCACGTATTGAGCAACAGGAACAAGAGCTTTTGGCAAAAATGCAAGAAAAATTACGCAATACCGCCGAACAACTTGCTAAGAAAGTTGATGGCAAAGTAAAACGCAAAAAAGGTAAAATGGATCAAGACTTGGATGATAGCATATCCCAAAGAGCCGATAACACAGATGATGAAAATCCAAAGCATCGCAATGAAAACAAATTCGAAGTACACCGAAATACTCCAGAAGATACTTCGAAGCGAAACAAAACGTATAAAAATAGGGCTTGTCAGAAAATCTCAACTTCTGCGGACACTAATGTCATTTCCGAGATTGATTCTGTTAAGAAAATTAAACGTAAAGTAGATACACTTTTTGATCAAACGGACGCTAACGTAATGCCAGAAGGTGTCTCTGTTAAAAAGAAAAGTAAACGTAATAAAGATACCATTATTTACCAAACACGTGTTAATGGAATCTCAGAGGTTGATTCCAATAAAGAAACCAGGAAAAAAAGAATAGGTAACGAGGAAGATTGCGACACAAATGCAAAAAAGAGCAAGAAAAAAATCACAAAACCTAAGGAAATATACCATTTATAGTTAAATTAATAATTTTTAATTTAATTAAAATTTTATAAACACATCACACGTTTAGCAGTATAGAGATGTAATTCAAAATTTACGTTTTTGGAGATTTCATCATACAATTAATAAGCTTGATAAGGATAATATGTTCAGCCTAACAGATGACTAAACTTCCAAAAAGTGTGNTTAATAATTTTTAATTTAATTAAAATTTTATAAACACATCACACGTTTAGTAGTATAGAGATGTAATTCAAAATTTACGTTTTTGGAGATTTCATCATGCAATTAATAAGCTTGATAAGGATAATATGTTCAGCCTAACAGATGACTAAACTTCCAAAAAGTGTGGAAGATATGGGTCTTTCCATCTGTCTTTTGGTATACCAACTGTATGAATTGATCAAACTTTGATTGCATTTTCCCACAAAATTAAAATTTTGAAATAATTCTGCATATTATTAAACGTGCGACACNAATTGATCAAACTTTGATTGCATTTTCCCACAAAATTAAAATTTTGAAATTATTCTGCATATTATTAAACGTGCGACATATGTATGTATGTATGTTTATAATCTATAAACCTATAGTTTATTAAAAATATAAGCACTTAACTAAAAGTATTTAACGTAAATCTCACTTCTTTGATTTGCCTTTCATTCGGCGAGACTTTCCTAAACGTTTGTTACCACTACTCGCCGCTTTGCTGCCTTTTCGGAAATTCTTAACCTTCTCCAAACCGCCGGCTGAAGATTTCGTGTTTCGCTTGAGCCCCTTCTTTTTACCACCAAAACCAAACCTCTTATTACGTTGATTTCGTTTATCTGCCGATTTTTTCTTTTGTGACTCCAACGTCTTGGCATCTTCAAGGAAGTCAAGGTTCTTAAGTTTGCCCTTTCGAAATTTCTTTAGTTTATCCAGCATATCTTTCTTTTCCATTTCCCGCTGTACTTTTGTTTGCTTAGCAAGTAGTTTACCCATTTTACGTTGTTCGCGTATTTGCTTAATGCGCTCAGACTTAGCTTGGCCCTCTTGCTTGGCCATGAGATTGGCACGCACTTTTTGCATATGCTCGTCAGATTTGGCCATTTCGGCAAAATAATCATCGGGCCTCCGTGTAGGAATTCCTGCTTCATGTAAGCGCTTTATTCCTTCCATAACAGCAGCTTGCGCTTGTCGATGGAAGAGCATTTCACGTTTAAAATCATTTAACACTGGATCTTCGTCAGGCCGTACGTATGGAATTTTGGCATTGCCTTTGAACATGTTAACACGTTTCTGTTCGTGTTTCTCTAATTGTATTACCATTTCAGGTGCCAGTGGAGCCAAATCGTTTATCATATCCATCTTCTCCACCCATGGTAAATCTAGTTTAATTTCATCCGCTTTTGCCAACAGTTTCGGCTGTAAAGGAATGTTTTGTATATTTTAACTATGGATTACGTCTTCTATTATTATATTTTTACTTACAATATCATTAACTTTCTGCTTTTCTGCATTAAATTCGATGTTCAAGCCGGGTTTCAGATCACCACGAGCAAATGCTTCCTGAAGCTGTTACAAAATGTTTTTAATTTACCAGATTTCAAAATATGCTGTGTCCTTACCTCGTCGTCTGAATTTTCATCCGAATAATATTCAGAATCTGTCTCGGCTTCTAGGTGCGCTTTCCTTTTCATTTTTCTGTATTTGGGCTAAACGAAAATACTCGAATTTTTAAAAACAAATCCTGCACGTGCATATATGGAAGAGATGATACGATTGCCTTGTCATAGTGATGTGCTGAATTGTCGGTTTCCAA